ATATATATACTTATATAAGAGAGAGTATACTTATATATAATTATATACTAAGAGAGAGTATATATATATATATATATATATTATATACACAATATATATACACATATACATATATTTTATATATAAGAAAATAAAAAAATAAAAAAAACAAAAAAAATTAAAAAATGTTACTGTTCCGGGCCCGGACAGGGCTCGCCAACGGCGACCCCACCCTAAAGTAGCTAGCTTGTGCGCAACCCTATATTGGCTTCTTTAGTCATCTAGAACTTAAAACTGGAACTGAGATAATTTGTGGGATAAATTTTTAAGGTGTTAATCACATAGAACTAGGAAATAGGATATTTTTTTATAGTTTCTTAGTTATTTTTCGCCACCCATTTCGCGCGCACCCAGTTTCTCACCCACATATCTTTTCTTAGTTATTTTTCGCCACCCATTTCGCGCGCACCCAGTTTCTCACCCACATATTAAGTTCATTTTGTCGGATAACGGGTTCAAGTCAAACCCGATTCGCATGTCCGACACAGGAAGAACATACAAGCTCCTGGGTAAATAAAAAATAAAAAAAAAAATCGTCAAAACTCTCGCGGGCGGTGACCTGACCCGAGAACCCTAGCCCGCTTCCAAAACCTCTCTCCCTTCGCTTCGAGTCCGGTGCTCCGCCATGTGGGCAAGCGCAGACGGCGGCCCGCCGGAGGTCACCGTGGAGACCTCCATGGGTCCCTTCACCGTCGAGGTAAGCTTACCTCCTCGCTTCCCTCTCTTTCTCATCATCTCTCTTTCTTTCTCTAAAGCTAACCAACTCGAGTCCGGTGCTCCGCCAGATGTACTATAAGCACGCTCCAAAGACCTGCAGGAACTTCGTCGAGCTTTCACGGAGAGGATACTACGATGACGTCAAGTTCCATAGGATCATCAAGGTGATCGTCGATCTCTTCTGCCCTAGTTTGCACCAACTTTTTGTTTTGCTTGATTTTTTGTTTAATTTGTGTTTGTGTTTTAGGATTTTATGGTACAAGGCGGTGATCCTACTGGAACTGGGAGAGGTGGAGAATCTATCTATGGGTTAGTGTTTATTTGCTTGATCAAAATCTTTTCGCAAATTTTTAGGGTTTCTTTTATGTTTATCATTAGATTAGCTGTCGAAATTGGGACTTGCATGAGAATAAGATTGGAAGGACCCAAAAAAAAAACTAATTTTTGACCGTGACCAAACGTTTATTGTGATTTATGAAGAATGAGTTCTGAATTGACGAAAAGTACTTGTATCAAGATTTAGATTTTGAGTTTATCCACGTGCAGTGCGAAGTTTGAGGATGAGATTAAACCGGAGCTGAAGCATACTGGAGCAGGGATCTTGTCGATGGCAAATGCGGGACCTAATACAAATGGAAGCCAGTTCTTTATCACTCTAGCACCGGCACAGCATTTGGATGGTAAGGATAAGTGCTTAAAATGCAGGTTTCAGTCTTTTTTTTTTATAAGTCTGAAAACATTGTTGGTCTTGTCTGTGGTGAGGGAATAGGAAATCCTTTGTTTTCATAGAACTTATTTTCAGTTTGTGTGCATTTCTCTTTTTCTATTAATTTGACAAGTATGATTGTCTCATTGAAATTCCCTTCATTCTTCCTCTACATACCCCAAAATCAACAAAAAGGGGGTTTTATGCTAATTTTTTTTTAATTTTTGTGGTGTGTCTTCTACATTTGTTGTTGCTCATTTAAGGTCTTAGGAATTGTGTTTCTACCCCATTTTACCTTATATACCTCCCTAGAACAGCCTCTTTGATAGCCAGTACAATTTCATGGAGATTGGCTAGGGGCTATCTAAAATCTCATGGTCATTCCCCTAAATTGCACTCCAATTTCTAGGTCACTCCGAAAATCTGTAAGAAATGCTACATACCACCCTTTTAATGTGCATATGTCATTCTGAATATGAGAGTTATAATAGAATTGAAGATGGAAGTTACTTCTTAATATGGATAACAGGGGCCTACGTTTAAGGTAATTATCTCGGGCCTTGTGTTGTTTCCTTTCAATAGGAAGCCTTTTTTGTGAGGTTTATGATAGCATCCATAGGCCAATGAATTTGGCCAAACCTTTTAGCTACTATACTAGGTTGATTCTTATATTTAATAGTTCCATGGAATTCAAGAACCTCCTAGATCTTGTTTTTAGAATTACTTGTAGGGTCATAGCTAGTATTTTAAGTGGGGAATTATACTTTAAAAACTCCATAATTAACGGTGTCTAGATGACGATAGTAATGGTAGTTGATCTCATAGGAAGTATATGCTTAGGGAAGTGTTCAAGCTAATAGTTGCTAAAAGTGCACGAACTAAATGCCATCCAGCTTGAAATAGCGCACATTACTAAATGCTATATAACATGAGACTACATTTGTAATCCATTGGCCCCTATTTCAATCATGCAGTAGGTGTAGTGACCATATCTAAATCTGATATGGCCCATTGGTTAGTACATCTAAATGCATGAAGTAAGTTCTTTTATCTTCTGTGGATCCCAAAAATGAATGGTGCCCCATTGCTGCATTTTATCAAGGTGTCTTGTCCATAATAGCTCTAATCATGTCAATAATTAATGTATTTGACATTTTGAAATGAGGAACATCTGGAATGCCTTCATATTTAAATAATAGTTGGTACAGGATGCCCTTAATTTGAGTTCTACATGTCTTTTTCAGTTCTCCGATGATGTCATGATAGATGCGTCTGAGATCTCATGGTTTGAACCTATTAAGAGTCATTCATCAATTGTTCGGACCTATTTAGAGTCACTAATATGCATCACATGGATCATCTAGACCTTTAACATATTGTGCTTGTATTTGACATGTAAATGAAGTAAAATGGTCATTGATTCTTGCAAAATTGCTTCCCCGACAATGTTATGATTTTTGGCATTGTTCTTTGAAATTTAGGCAAGCATAGAAGGAACATGCATATCATTACAGGAAGTATCTTTACCACCAGAAAGAAACTTCCTGAATTGCTTCATTTGCATATTAAAAAAATATTGCGTACACTATCAGAAGCTCTTAAGCATCTTTAATGTTAAGTTACCACCATCCAAGGCAGGCTATAGCCTTTCAAGCAAATACTAAATGGAGTAAACAAGTTAAGTTGCAGTAAGTGGTACGTATCTTTTTCTAGATAAGTTAGTTGGATCCTTGTCCTAACTATTTGGGGAAGAATTTCGGTTGCTTAGTGATACCTTTCCTCGAGTGTGGTGTCTGGACTAACTCTTTGTTTGAATGGTAATGAATTTGTGTCATCCATACATACTTTATTTTCGTGCTTTCTCTTCATTTATTTTTATGCTTGATTCTGTATATTTTGCATTGAATTTGACATGTTTTCTATACTTTGGATTTCTGTCAGAGACGTGAATATTTATGTATATGGATGCAATACACCAAGTATGGTTGCAGATCAATTGTTATTTCAATGAGTGTTAATTCCACAATGTTCCTTAGACATTGTACTTTGACGTGCATGGTTATCTTTTAAAGGACTCTAGAATTCTTGCTAGAGTCATAGTGCTTTCTATTATTGTTGCTTTTCTTTTCTTTTCTTTTTGGTATATGGTTGAGGAAGTTATTCGTTACATACAGGAAAGCATACCATATTTGGGAGAGTTTGCAGAGGGATGGAAATCATCAAGCGTCTTGGAAGTGTTCAAACTGATAATAGTGATAGGTATGCCTTTTGTCTTGATGATTCTTTGGGAAAGCCATAAATCAATTGCATGAATCTTTTTTTCACTATAGCTCGGGTATAAATTTGAGAGTATGTGATACTAGAGCTATATATTTTTTCTTCTAGAAAAAACAATATCACACATGTATTTTTTTTCTCCTAATTTATGTAACTACTAGAAACCCGACAAACTTGATAGTAGGAACTATAAGCATTAAGGGTTTGCTAGGTGTTGTTTCCCCCCTATATAGACGAGCCCTTTTAATTACTGAGTTACCTAAACTCACCTATCCAAGGAGATACTTTTATATGGCCATGATTTTTGGTTTATCTGAAACATCAAATGCTTATTAAAGACGATATTAAAGTAAATCTTAGAATGCATCTAGATGAGTTTGGATGTGCCGTAGCAGAGAAATAGAGAGGAGATTGGAAATTTTCGAGATATGGTGAAAACTAGGAGGTAAAATAGAACATAGCGTGGGATCATTGGAATGGATCTTTCTACTTTTGCATCCAAAAGAAGCCAAAAGATCTGCTTTGTCCAGACTACTTTTTCCAAAAAGGGCTAAATAACCAAAATTAACATGAATGTCCTCTATCGCGTACATGTCCTTTGGAGTTTATAGTAAACTACCATGAATTTTCTATTTCTCATAGAACTCCACGATGGTGTTAATGAAAAAATGTGGTATATTCGTCAAGGAATGGTCACATACAGGTTAGATGACATGTTTACTAACAATAACATATGACAGTTTAGTAAGAATTTATGATAAAGTTTATGGTGGTTTTTTGTGGTTGGAAAGTTGGTGGTTGTCTAGTGAAAAACAAGTAAGGTCATGGTAGTTGTGTAATTTAGTCTTAAAAACTTATTTGTTTAGGTTACGTTTTAAAACCTATATATCCTTTAACTTGGGCTGAAGTGACAAATCTTTTGTTCACTATTTTTTATTAGCTTTTACTAATTAAGAAATAAAAATTTAAGTGTGCTTTAGGATCATATTTTTCTACTAGAGCTTGAATGAAATCCAAATTTTGGATGGATGAGGAAATAGAAGTTTTTGAACTAAGGTTTTTGCTACGTAAGGCACGATGAAATAAGATATCATGAATTATGTTCAACTAATAAACAAGTGAAGTATAAATATTGCATTGTAACTGGGTGAAAATTAGCAAAAATGGATGAAAATTGTGGGTGAGCCCATGAAGGTTGCAATTTTGAAGTGTCTTTCACCAAGTCTAATCAAATGAAAATAGACTAAAATCTTGCGTTATTGCCTATGAAAATTATGAAGATTGGAGTATGTATTTAATTGTCACTATGTCAAAACGAACAAAAATTGACAAAAATCATGGGTTGCAACTTGTGAAAATATTGAATTTTGAAGAAAATGTATTTCTTTGCCATTATAGCGATACAAATAAAAATAGAAAAAAATCGTGGGTTACGACTCATGAAAAATGTTTTTGAATAACAAATATGTAATTGTCATGGGCCGAATCAAACAAAAGTATGCAAGAATTGTAGGTTATAGCTTATGAATATTGAGAATTTTTAAGTATTCATACATAATTTCCATTAGTTCGAAATGAAATAAATGGACAAAAATTATGAGTTATAGCCCATGAAAATCAAGAATTTTTAAGTAGGTATACTTAATTGCCATTGGAACGAAAGTGGACTTAAAACTTGTGATTTTAACCCATGAAAATCGTGAATTTTAACGAACACGTGCTTCATTAACGTTAGCTCAAAACGAAAGAAAATGAACGAAACTTGTGAGCTATAGTCTTTGAAAATCACGTTGAAATATACTTAGTTACTATTGGCTAGAAATGAACAAAAATAAATAAATATCGTGGGTTCTTATGAAAGTACAAACTTAGGTTAAAATAAAAAAATAGACAAGTTTGTGGGTTGTAGCCCATGAAAAACGTGAATTTTGAAGCATGTATGTTTCATTGCTATTAGATCGAAACAAACAAAAATGGACAAAAAATTATGGTTTATAGTCCATTAAAATTGCGAAGTTTGAAGTAAGAATGCTTCGTTGCTATTAGATCGAAATGAATGAAATAGATTTAAAAAAACATGGTTTAAAGCCATGAAAATCATGAATTTTGAGTATGCATATCTGACCGTCATTAAGTCGAAATGAATGAAATTAGAAAAAACTATGCAGGCTATTGCTAATAAAAATTTGGAATTTTGAAGCATGCATACTTAATTGTCATTAGGAACAAACAAAAATGAAAAAATATACAAGTTTCATTGGGTCAAAATGAACTAAAATGCTCAAAAATGATGAGTTACATCTCATGAGATCAGGAATTTTGAAATACTCTACTCAATTGAGATAGGGTCGAACTAAACGGAAATGGACAGAAAGTAGGCATAGCCTAGAAAATTTGCAAACTTTTCACTACACATAATTGTCGTAGGGTTATAACAAATAAAAATAGACTAAAAAATGGGTTATAGCCCAGTGCGAATTTTGAAATATGCATACTAAATTACCATTTAGTGAAAATAAATGAACAATTGACAAAAATCGTGGCTTACAACGTATAAAAATTGTGAATTTTGTAAAACACATACTTCATTGTCACTGGGTCAAAATGAACAAAATAGACAAAACTCGTGAGTTATAACAGCCCATGAAAGTCATGTTTTTTTCATCGGGCCAAAACAAACAAAGTTGAGAAAAATCTTGCATTATGAGTGAAATCTTGAATTTTGAAGAATGTACACTTCATTGACATTGGGTTGGAATGAAGAAAAATAGAAAAAACATGGTTGCTAGCCTATGTAAATAGCAAATTTTAAAATACAAATTGCATTGTCAGTAGGTCGAAGCTAACAGAAATATACAAAAATTGTGTTACAGCCCATGAAACGTGAATTTTTAAGTATGCATACTTAATTTCCATTGAGTTGAACAAAAATAGACAAAAATCGTGGATTGTGCTCATGAAATCATGAATTTTGAAATACGTATAATTCATTGTTATTAGGTCGAAACAAACAAAGATAGACAAAATCCGTAGGCTATATTTCATGAAAGTTGCGAACTTTAAGGTGTGCATACTTAATTGATATTAAGTCGAAACAAACAAAATGAATGATAATCATGATTTATATCCCATCAAAATCGGGAATTTTAAAGTAAGTATACTTCATTGCCATCGGGAATTTTAAAGTAAGCATACTTCATTGCCATTGGGTTGAAGCAAATGCAGATGCACAAAACTCTTGAAATTTGAAGCGCTCATACTTCATTATCATTAGATCGAAACAAGCGAAAAAATGGACAAAACTCGTAGGTTATATTTAGCTCATGAAAATTATGTTTGAAGTATGTATATTTTATCGCATTTAGATCAAAACAAACAAAAATGAACAAAATTCTTAGGATCTGGAGGATGCATACTTAATTGTGGTTAGGTCGAAATGAATAAAAATGAACTAAAATCGTAGGGTATAATTCATGAAAATTAAAAATTTTTAAGTACATATGCTTCGTCACCTTTGGGCGAAATGAACAAAAATTGTGTTCTTTACATCTCATGAAATCATGAATATTGAAAATGGACAATATAACCTAGAAAAACTGTGAATTTTTAGGTATGCATGCTTAATTGCTGATGCATCGGAACAAATGGAAATGGGTAAAGTAGTGAGTTATTAGTTATTACCTACGCAAAATGTGAATTTTGAAATACGCATACTAAACTACTTTTGGCTTGAAAATTGGGAATTTTAGAGGTGATATGCTTAATTGCTATCCAAATGAAAGCGAGTGAAAATGGACAAAAATGTAGTTTTTAACCCGTGAAAGTCGTGAATTTTAAAGCTCACATACCTTATTGCCATTGAGTCGAAACAAATAAAAATTGAATGTTATAGCACATGAGCGTTTTAGCAGATATACTTAAATCATTGGGTTGAAACTAATAAAAATGGATAAAAATCATAAATTATGGCTCGTGAAATCACAAACTTTGAAGTATGCATGCTTCATTGTATTTAGACTAAAATGAATAAAAATAGATAAAATTATAGGTTATAGCCGAAGAAAATCACCAATTTTCAAGGGGCGTGTTTCATTGCAAATGGGTCAAAACGAAGGAAAATGGCCTAAAATCGTGAATTATAGCCTGTGAAATTTTGAAGTATTCATATTTAATTGTTATTAGGTCAAAACAAATGAAAATTACCAAAAATTGTGGATTATAGCCTAAGAAAATTGTGAATATTAAACAGTATGTACTCTGTTGTCATTTGGCCAAAAGGAATAAAAATAAACCAAAATTATGGTTATAGCTCATGAAAATCACGAACTTTGAAGTATGCATACTAAATTTTAATTGGGTCAAAACAAATAAAAATTGATTAAAAATATGGATTATAATCAATGAAAATCTCAAAATTTAAAGGACGCATATTTCATTGTCATTAGGTTGAAAATTGTGGGTTATAGCCCACGAAACTGGCAAATTTTGAAATTACACTTATTTCATTTTCATTTGGATGAAACGAAGAAAAAGATACAAAAATTATGGGTTATAGTCTATGTAAATAGTGAAGAAGTTTGCATACTTAATTTCCACTTGGTCAAAACGAACGAAAATAAACTAAAATCAAGAATTATGAAATAAGCACTTCATTGTTATTTAGGTCAAAACAAAAATAAAAAAACCTAGGCTGTAGTCTATGAAATTCACGAATTTTAAACTATGCATACTTAATTCCTATTGAATCGAACAATAGATAGTAATCATTGTTTGTAGCCTATGAAAATTGAAAATTTTGAAGTAGACATAAGTTCCAACTAAAAAAAAACAAATGAAAATGGACAAAAATCGTTGTTTTTTAACCCTTGAAAATAGTGCACTTTGAAGTATGCAGATTTCCTTGCCATTGAATTGAAATAAGTGAAAATAAAACAAAATATGCGAGTTATAGTCCATGAGAGTTGTGAATTTCGAATTATGCA